TACATGGCGGGCTACCAAAAATTTCTGTGGACGCAGATTTTGCCTTATTTGGACTCCTTGCCACCGGAGAGCCAGCGCTTTCCGAAGGCTCTGCAGGAGGAAGCCATCGTGTTGTCGCGCTTCCAGAAAGACTTTGCCAAGCACCTGGCCGAAGCGGCGGGCAACCTTTTTGCCACCGCCACTTCGATCAGGAGGCACGCTTGGCTTAGGGCAGCCAGTCTCTCGGACGAGGGTAAGGCCCTAGCGGAGGACCTCCCACTACACGTGGATGGTCTTTTCAACCCGGAGACCGACGAAAAGTTAAAAAGCAAACAGGAGGTTCGCCAAGCGGCGAGTAAATTTGGTTACTCATGGCAGTCGAGCCCACAGCCGAAATCTAGATGGCAGCAACAACAGTCTCCTGGTTTCCGCAGGACCTATTCTAACAACTTCACAGGCCCCTACAGGAACCGCAATTCGGGTTTCTCTAGGTTCCAGGCTAATCGTAGAGCTCCCTATGGAGCCAGATCCAAGTTCCAATCTTTCCAAAACAAACCCAGATCCCAATCGGCCTCCAAGAAGCGGGTTTGACATGGGGGTGGGATCTTTGGGGAATCAACCGGAGAGAGATCGTTCCGTGGTCCCACAACCATTAGGTTTACCGGCTGAGCTCCCTAGGGCCTGTTGCCCAGTTTCAACGTTGTTTTATGAGAGGTTGGCCCCATTTCACAATGTTTGGGCGCAAATTACCTCTGATAAATGGGTTCTCTCTATCGTTAAAAACGGTTACAGGATTGAATTTGAAAATGTGCCTCCTACAGGGGAGTTGGTTTCCACACCTGTTTCCTTGCCTTTGTTGGGGGAAATTCAAACTTTGTTAGACAAAGGGGCCGTGTCCGTTGTTAATCCTGTTATGTTTCAATACTGTTTTTTCTCACGATATTTTTTGGTGAATAAACGGAGTGGCGGCTTTCGGGCCATTATGGACCTCAGGTCCCTCAATAAACATATTTCGCCAAAAAGGTTCAGGATGGTTACTTTGTCCATGATCATGCCATTGTTGTTCCAGGGCGCGTGGTTCGCCACGGTGGATTTAAGAGATGCCTATTTTCACATTTCTATAGTCCCCCAGCACCGTAGGTTCTTGGCCTTCATGGTCGGTCATCAGGCTTATTGTTACAACGCCTTGCCTTTCGGACTTTCGACGGCGCCCAGGGTTTTTACTAAATGTATGTCGGTGGTAGCGGCTCATCTCCGCACCAGGGGAATAACAGTGTACCCCTATATTGATGATTGGCTGATCGTAGCCAGCTCGTCTGAGCAACTAAAACAGCATGTCTCTCTTATTTTGTCTTTACTCCAGTCCCTAGGTCTGGTCATCAATCTGGAGAAGTCTTCCCTCACTCCTGCCAGACAGATTCAATTCATCGGGGCGTTACTGGACTCTGTCTCCCAGAAGGCCTACCTTCCTCCAGACCGTTTCACCAAACTGCGGGAGTTGGTCAGGCGTGCTGTCGTTGCTCCCAGCATCACAGCGAAGCAAGTACAGGTGTTACTAGGGCATATGGCCTCGACCACGGCTGTCACTCCCTACGCCCGGCTGAAAATGCGGCCCCTTCAATTTTGGTTTCTCTCAATTTTCAACCCCCTTGGGGACCACCCCTCTACCAGACTTCCCATCCCACCCAACATCAGACACTCCCTTGCGGAGTGGATGGACGAGCGTTGGGTGTGTCAGGGCCTCCCTTTCCAGCCTCCGTCTCCTGCCAGGTCTATGACTACAGACTCGTCCCTCACGGGATGGGGGGCTCACTCCCAAGGTCTAATCGCTCACGGGGTGTGGTCCACAAGCGAAGCCACCATGCACATAAACGTGCTCGAGTTACTCGCGGTGGACAGGGGTCTAAAGTCTTTCGAAAGAGTGGTGTCAGGGAAGGTCATCCAAGTACTCACCGACAACACCACGGTGATGTACTATTTGAACAAACAAGGGGGCACCCACTCGGGACCCTTGTTAGACCTGTGCCTGGGAATCTGGAACTGGTGCATCAGCAGGGGAATCCACCTCATAGTCACCCACCTTCCAGGAGTGGACAACGGCCTAGCGGATGTCCTGAGCAGGAGTCCCATGGCTCACCACGAATGGTCCCTGAACGGGGAAGTATCGGCCGACCTGTTCAGACTTTGGGGCGCACCGGAGGTGGATCTGTTTGCGACTCCTCAAAACACCAAATGCCGACTGTTTTGCGCCCGTTGCCACCCGATACCACAGATAGGGTGCCTGGGGGACGCGTTTCTCCACAGTTGGGGGAGCAGACTACTTTATGCATTTCCCCCTTTCCCTCTGTTACTTCGGGTGGTTGCGAAAATCAGAAAGGACAATGCGCATTGCGTTCTGGTGACGCCCTGGTGGCCTCGCCAGCCTTGGTTTGCCCCCCTCCTCCAACTGTCAGGGGACAACTTTCTCCGTTTTCGCCACAGACCGGACCTTCTGACGTCTCAGGGGGGGCAGGTGTTGTATCCCGAGGTTCACCAGCTCGGGCTTACAGCTTGGCTCGTGAGACCACGCCTTTGACTGTTTTTTCTAGTCTATCGGGACCGGTCCTCTCTATTATTGAGGCGGCTCATAGACCGTCTACAAAAAGATCGTATTTGTATAAGTGGGCCAAGTTTAAGAATTTTACTGCACAAAAGGGCATTGGGCCTGAAGAGGCACCCATTTCGTTAGTTCTTGATTTTTTGGTTTCATTATTAGATGCGGGCCTTTCGGCTTCGTCTTTAAAGTGTTATTTGGCCGCCATTTCTTGGTTTCGACGAAAAGCGGGTCTCCCCTCGTGTTTTGGGGACCCGGTAGTTAAAACCTTTTTGAGGGGTATTGCTAATACTAGGCCTTGTGTAGCCCCTGTTTCTCCTTCCTGGAGTTTGGAATTAGTGTTATCTGTTCTGATGAGGCCTCCCTTCGAGCCGCTAGCTACGATAGATTTTTCGTATCTTTCGTGGAAAGTGGCCTTTTTAGTGGCTATAACGTCGGCTCGAAGGGCCAGTGAATTGTGTGCATTACGGGTTGATCCTCCTTATCTTAAATTCCATAAGGATAAGGTTGTTTTGCGCACAGACATTGCCTTTCTTCCCAAAGTTTCTACGACTTTTCATATGTCTCAAGAGATAGTTCTCCCTTCCTTCTTTCAGAATCCTACGACGTCTTTAGAGAAGGGTTGGCATTGCCTGGACGTTCGCAGGGCACTGGCGTTTTATGTGGACAGGACCTCTGAATTTAGGAAAACGCCAAGATTATTTGTTAAGTATCGTAAGGATACGTTGGGAATGCCAGTATCTTCCCAGCGTTTTTCTTCTTGGGTGGTGTCTGCCATCCGGTCATGTTACAAACTGTCTGGAAAAGATTTGCCTCAGCAGGTTAAGGGACATTCGACCCGAGCGGTGTCGACATCTGTTGCCTTCTTGAGAGGTGTGCCATTGGATGCAATCTGCAGGGCTGCAATCTGGACGACGCCTTTTTCTTTTGTGTCGCATTACAAGATGGACGTCGTTTCCAGGAGAGCAGCGGATTTTGGGAGATCGGTTTTATTCTCAGCGGTGGCATGACGCCCACCGTCCACGGTTAGTAGCTTGCTAGTCTAC